AAAGGTGGTGGGGGCCTTGAAGCCTCCACTGGCTCTGAACTTGCATAATTTTTCTTTGGCTCGTGTATTGCCTTAGGGGTCAACTCCTCCTCAGGTATAGGTTTGTCCTTTCTCTTCTTTGGCACTTCCTCTAGTTCCCTCCCATTTCTGAGTGTAACTGCATTAACTTGAGGGTTTTTCTCTGTATCACTGGGAAGAGAGCCTGTAGGTCTAGTATTTTGATTTGCTGCTAACTGCCCCATTTGCCTCTCAAGATTTCTGAAATCAGTCCTGAGCTGTTGATTGTCAAGCAATAACTTTTTTAGCAAGTCATTCATACTCTCTTCTATTTGTTGGGGTGGCTTCTAAGGCTGATTGAAATTTCCTTGAGGCCTATACTGATTCTGTTAATTTTCTCCCTATGAGAAGTTAGGATGATTCCTCCAATTTGGATTGTAAGTGTTCCCATATTGTGCATGCTGATTCATCGGACCTCTGTTTTGTTGTCCCACATAGTATATAGATTCAGGATTCGTGGGGCACATGTCACTCATATGACTGTCACCACATAGTTCACAGCAAATAGACATTTGCTGTACATGTTGCATCTGTTGTGTTTTTTGCATTGTCATTCTGTTCATCTGATTTGCCAGCTTTGCAATATCTGCTCTCATGGCTGAGAAGTCATCAAGCTCAATCACCCCGGCTGCCTTCTATTTAATTGCTCTTCTTGAGTCCCCATCTCCTTGCCAATTATGGTCATTAGCAGTGAAGTTATTTAGCAATAGTTGTATTTCACTATACGGCCTTGCCATGCAACTACCCCCACACGCTGAATCAAGATTCATCTTTGATGCCTCATCTAGCCTATCAACAAACGTGTGACCCAATACCTCATCAGTCTGACAATGATGCAGGCAGTCTCTGAGTAGCTTCTTGTATCTTTCCCAAGCTTGACGAAGTGTCTCGCCATCCCGTTGTTGGAACCCAAGAATTTGGCTCCTCAGCGATTTTGTCTTCTTAGTAGGGAAAAACTTGATTAGGAATTTCCTTGCTAAATCATCCCAAGTGTGGATTGAGTTCGCGGGCTCCTTTTGCAATCATTCCTTAGCTTCCCCCAACAATGAAAAGGGAAATAGTGTCAGCCTGATATAGTCCTTGGAAACGTTCGGATAATTGTAAGTGTCCGTAATTTCCAAGAAGTTCTGAATGTGCCTCTGCGGGTCTTCATGAGATAGACCCACATATTGCCCTGTGGACTGAATCAGATGTACCATGTACTGTTTGAGTTCAAAATGCCTCGTGATATCAGGCTTCACGATAGCCTGAATCATATTAGCAAGATTGGGCCTTGCGGCTTCTATCACCGGACGCTCCTCATTACCTGCCATCTCTATTGGCTGTGGTTGAACTACGATGTCCAACTCTCTTTCTATTCTCGTTCTAGCTTCGACTTCTCTCCTCACTCTATGAAGTGTTCGTTCAATTTCTAGATCAAAATGAAGGAGGTTGTTTGCACTTCTACTCCTCCGCATTCAAGAGAAGATCCTGCGTTAACACAAACAAGGCAAACTGAAAATTAAAACTTGAACAAATAAGCAATAGAAGCTTAACTTAGTCAAGTAGCTAATTTCTAGGTCCCCGGCAACGGCGCCAAAAACTTGTTGCGACCAAACACACTCACGCAAGTATACGTGGTCGTCAAGTAATATAGTAGTGAGTATAGTATCGTTCCCACGGAGACTTATGATTAACTTTTGACTAACTCAAACTCAAATAACTTATCGATTCAAATGATTTCTCACAAAATAGATAATTTTCTAATTTACTACCTAAAAACTATCAAGTAATGAAATACTAGAGATCAACCACAACACTTAAATAATTTTGAATAACAATCAATAGGAGATAATATTCTAGGGTAACGGGTTATCTAACAATCATGTTGCATTCTTAGCTTAAAATAACTAATTAATTTATTTGGATTGTTGATTGACAAGGTTGATATTACTCATAAGAATCTGTCGAGTTCTTACTCGCCTATTCAAGCTAACTTAATGCCTATATGTCTATGGAATTAAGATTAACAAGAATGCATTTACACTTCCTGTATTTCAACCGAGCAAGACAATTAGGTATATTTCTATCCTAATTGTGAATCCGTTCCCCGATGTCCGGGTTCAAGAACTTGCTATATTTAATTCTATATGTAATCTAGAATTCCCACTTTCGAGTTCAACTCTAGATTCGTAGATAGTAATTCACTTTTAGCTACTCAGCAAATTAATTAAAAACAGAATTAAATAAATAATCCAATATGATAAAATTAACTTTGTCAAATTAAACTTCAAACATCAACATTCATGTATCGCCTATGACCTTAGAATATTAGGGTTCTTAGCCACTCATGTTCATACAATCATCAAATAATTTACAAGAGTGCATAAGAATCAATAAAAGAAGGAAAAATAAGAACTCAAGATGAATTCTGTGGTTCCCCAGCTTTTTCGTCGCTTTTTCCCCCTTCCCAATATGTTATATGCCCTAAAAGAGGCATTTTTGGCTTATATATTGCGTACAAAAGTCGTGGGCCAAAGTTCTCCTATTCCTAATCCAAATCAGCTTCATGGATTGATGTTGGGGTGGATGCGTCACATCCACCTCGTCCTCCACTTTCCAGCTTCGCATACTAGGGTGGATGCATCCTCCCTTTGTTCCTCCATCTCAGCTTTGCCCAGGTGCGGATGCTAAGGCGGATGCTATGGGCCGACTTCACTCCTAAGGGTGCACGAAATCTGATTTTTTTTCTAGATTGGATGCGACGCATCCAACCCCTCTTCCTCTACCTAGAGCACCTTTTCTTGATATTTTTGCACTCCAAACACCCTAAATCATCACACACAACTCAATTAGTCATAAAACTAATAATTAAACCATGTTGGGCATTTTAAAGATCAAATAGCATCAAAAAAGTGGTTAAAATATGGGTAAAGTAACATCAACACATATCGAAATATGCCCAACATCAGTAAATGAAAGAACTTTTTTCATTTTTCACGAACGTCTTTCCTAAATAGAGAGCATGAAATCTCATGAGATAATTTAAGGGACTTTGTTAATGTGGATTTTCCACTACAAACCTTTCTATAGCTACCCTCGGTTATCATAGCAGCCAGGATTAAGGTCCATGGATTCAAGCTTTATGATTATTAGCGTTGAATTTCCTATAATTTTAAAGTTATAGGATCATATCTACTATTTATTGCAATTTTAAAAAAATTATACATATAAATTTATATTTCGCGTTTAAAGTAGCATGTTGAGATGAACCTGATTTTTCAAAGTTGTATCCGCGCCCTTGTCTATAACAACGTTTCATCATAACTATCAAGTTTTCTTTGGATATGATTTTCTCTATTATATTTTACCTCTATAACAATATTTTACTTATAGCAGTAATAATCATCATTATTACTGTATACTTTTTGAATTATTACGTCTCTATAACAGCCTAACTCAAATATCTGTTTGTTGTGTTTATTATTTTATAATAGCAAAAATTAATCCACTAATATATTTTATTGGAGACATACCACTATTCTAGACTCAACTTCGTACTCGTGCTTATACTTAAAGTACAACTTCACAGCATGAAAGTATAGTTCCTAACCATTTGGATCCTCTTTATAGCAAGTGTCAAAAGGTCCGTTTGAATTTTCAACCATAGGAATATCTTCTACTACAGCTCTTAATATGTAGAGAAATACAACATAAAAAACAACAGAAAAATAGGTAAAAGTTGTCCCAGTATCCACCAAGATTCCACCATTAATATGTCGTTTGAAATTCAACCATGAGAGTTTTACCGGAACTTCCCTTTCATTAACAATAACTTTATCAATGTTTACAAAATAAAATTAAGGGTACTTATAATTTGGTAGCAATTTTGCTGATGTTGCTCTTGGCCACTTGCTTATATGGAAACTCATTATCGATCCTTTTCTTGAATGAAAAGTTGGTAGACACATGGAAAATATATACGTCTTAAATTGAGATGGTAAAGAAGATCCACCTTTTCTAATGGAAATACTTTACGCGCAAGGCCAACAATCCCAGAATAGGAAGCATTGAAAAGACCGGTTTGGTCAATACTACATCCAAATGTAACATTGGTCTTTGGTCTAAATCAAAATAAATCACGTCATCTACCATAAAACTTTTTGTTCTTGATCGAGCCGTATATTTTCTATCATAGATACATTTAGAATTATTTTGATCATAATGAAAAGCTGGGTCCGCTAATACATAGATTTGAACTAATTGACCGTGTTCAAACTTTATTTGTCATAGTAAGTATTGTAAACTGGAAGCCCTCTCACACACATTCCATAACAATTGGATGGTGGACCATGATAATAACTTGGCACTGATATTTAACACATTTTCTCAATAACCTCCTTATGTATAGGTGAAGAATAAATTATAGATTATTGTTATAGGCCATTGTTTTAGACAAATGGGGATTGTAGAATAACGCTAAAATATATTTCGAGATATTCTATGATAAATGTAGAATATTTAATTTACTATCCCTCCAGTATATGCATGTAAGATCTGAATTAGTTGTATAATATTTGTTTTCTTTTAGTTTACTCTCCTACTAAAAGAACCATTTTCAACCCATAAATTTTAACACATGTACTTAATTTTAAGTGTGGCAAGTAACGGTCTCTCTTAATTTGAATACCCTACAAACCGTAACTTGATAAAAAATATTAGATTTGGAAAGTGTAGATGAGGTCTTATCTTTAAACCTATGATCTATGAGAAATTATGAAAGGAAAAAAAAAATTCTTACAATCACTCCCTGCAAATCATACGCTTGCCAATACACGATTCTAACAAAAAAGATTGCAATAGCTTTTGTAGGATTCACGAAAACAGAGAGAAAAGAAGAAATGCTAATAATGGTAAACTTGGATACACCTTTAAATTGTAACTTAGAAATTTATATACTTTAATCACATGCATCTACTGTCGAAGGACAAAGTATTTGCTGAAGTATCAAAAGTTAATCCTACACATTGGAGTTGATTAACCCCTAATATTGAGAAGTCTTGCTCCGTTCCTACAAAAACGAGGCAGTAGTGCCCACGAAAGTGCACAACAACTCGCTCTTGTGCCAAAAGCAACATTGTACCTGGATTTTCACTGCCAAAATATAACTTTACAACAGGAAATACTAAACCAGGACCATTTGGATTATCTTTATAGCAAGTGTCAAAAGGTCCTATTGGATTGTCAACCATAGGAATATCTCGTACTTCAGCTCTAAACGCATAGCGAAATATGACATAAAAATCCTTAGGAAAATGGGTAAAGGTCGTTCCTGTATCCACGATGACTCCACCACGCATATTTGGTTTGAAATTCCACCACGAGGGATTGACCAAAACTTCTTTGTCATTAATAAAATTTTTATAAAGGTTAACATAGAAAAATGAAGGGTACCTTCTATTTGGTAGTAATTTTACTGTTTTTGCTCTTGGATATGTGCTGTTATGAAAACTGATAGTAGATCCCTTTCCCGAATGAATCTTGGTAGACACATGGAAAATAATGACGCTCCAAATTGTGATGGTAAAGAATATCCACCCTTTTTTTGTGGACGTGCTCTGCGTCCAAGTCCAGCAATTCCAGAGAACCAACCGCTGAAATTTGTTCCACTGGTTTGATCTTTGCCACATCCAAACATAACCCTAATTGGTCTTTGGTCTAAAACAAAAGTAATCACATCATCGGCCATGTACCCTTCTGTTCTTTGTCGACTCCCATATGTCATTTCATAGCGACACTCAAAACTATCTAGATCACAAGTAAAAGCTGAGTCCTCAAATATGCAATATTTTGAACCGTATCGCAAACAGTCAACTTTTCGAAAAGTTTTCGATGCAGTAGAATTATATAATGGATTTTGAAACTTTTGTTTGTAGCACTTATATTTTCCTCACATGGTCCACATTGCCACCAAACTAAATCACTTCCGGTGTCTATTACTAAGAAACTTCTTACTTCGTCACTGCCTAACAAAAAAGATGCAACATTCTCGCCATTAGAGTAGTAGGTACCTGTTGTTTTTGGTACAAGTTCCCGCATCTTGCTCCCTCGCGCATCGTCTTGCCTTGTCAGAGTTTCATTTGCATCAATTGGATTGTCATTTGGAGGAACCATCCCTTCTTTAACGTCGTTACCATGTTCAAAATCAAGAATTGAAGCCAAATAACTTGCTCTAGCATGAGATCGAGCAAGTCTACTTTCAAGCAATGAGTCGTAGTCCTTGAAGTTTAATTTTTCAAATACATCGCGATGGTAAATAGTAAAAGTATAGGATGACATTGGAGGATCTGGAAGCATAGTTGGATCAAGAGACATGAATCTTTCTTTAGCTAGGTTAATATAAATGGAGTTAAGGGGTGAAAGATATTTCTCATTAGCCGAAACTGCAATCAGAATTGAAAAATAATTGACCCCAAAAGGTGAATATGGAACAGGTTTTCCATTTGTATAGAACTTAGTGTACGAAGGTATTTTATCAATTCTTTCATTCGGTATGAAATAGGATCACCACTTCCTGAAATCATCTATATATTTTATAGTAAAATATTTAATTCTACGCCAAAATAGGAAGAAAAACCAGAGCTAATTATAGAGATTTGATTCATTTTGAGAAGCCATAGTGTGAAGTAGGAATGAAATAATTAAATTCTCAATAATAAATTTTTTACCTTTTTTCCTTTGATATAATTAATATTAAGAGAATCAGAGTTTGATTACCTACTGATTTTTATCAAATGAAAGAATATATCTATTTTTTTGTGAAATCTGATGAGATATACAAGAATTAGGTATGGGATCTATAGTATTTAGGAACTTTATTAATGTAGCTCCACTACTATTCAAATTGTATTATGCACCCATTGACAAGGTACAATAATGTGGATGGATGCTTAATACCATTTGAATAGTGGTGAAGCTCGCATACTAAAATATATGTGAAAACCTGCTTAAGCTGGTTGTATGTTTAAGTTCGTTAGGCAGGGTAATTGAGGTATGAATTTTAGGAGGCTGGACCTTCGCCACAGTCCACACATTATGAGATTGGACAAGCCCATTTTTTGCCAAAAATTTATGTAAGCCTTTTACGAAGTTAGTAAAGACCTTTGGATAATAGTTTAGTTGTTCTTAGAAGAATTCAATCTAGCCAGGTAGAAAAGAAGATGGACAATGTATACAAGGCCCGGGAATAAATTCACCGCCCTATGGCTGATCGACGATTACTAATAGTTCAGGTTTCATACAAGCGAGTTGTAGCTTAAAATCCGAACTATGGATGAATTTTTCCCTCCCACTTCTAATATCATCTATGTACATCTAGCTCACTTCAGGTATTTCTCTTTTAACGACTTTTATTTATTTAGTTGTCTAACCAATCAACAACAATCGATCCAATTATCTCCTTTACAATTTCACATCTTATTATTTACGCTTTACAAATAATAAAGAGCCTCATACAAGTATGATATGACATGTGAGACAAAATAGTTTAGTTGTTCTGAGAAGAATTCAGTCTGGCCAGGTAGAAAAGGAGAGGGACAATGTATACAAGGCCCTAGAATAAATTCACCGTCCTATGACAAATCGACGATTACTAACAGTTCAGGCTTCATACAAGCGAGTTACAGCTTAAAATCCGAACTATGGGTGAATGTTTTCCCTCCTACTTCTAACATCATCTATGTACATCTAGCTCACTTTAAGTATTTCTATTTTAACGACTTCTATTTATTTAGTTGTCCAACCAATCAACAACAATCGATCCAATTATCTCCTTTACAATTCCACACCTCATTATTTACGCTTTATAAATAATAAGAGCCTCAAATAAGTATGATGTGACATGTGAGACATAAGTTTAGTTGTTCTCAGAAGAATTCAATCTGGCCAGGTAGAAAAGGAGAGGGACAATGTATACAAGGCCCTGGAATAAATTTCCCACCCTATGGCTAATCGACGATTACTAACAGTTCAGGCTTCATACAAGCGAGTTGCAGCTTAAAATTCGAACTATGGATGAATTTTTTCCCTCCCACTTCTAACATCATCTATGTACATCTAGCTCACTTCAAGTATTTCTCTTTTAACGACTTCTATTTATTTAGTTGTCTAACCAATCAATAACAATCGATCCAATTATCTCCTTTACAATTTCACACCTTATTATTTACGCTTTACAAATAATAAAGAGCCTCATACAAGTATGATGTGACATGTGAGACATAATAATTTAGTTGTTCTCAGAAGAATTCAGTCTGTCCAGGTAGAAAAGGAGAGGGACAATGTATACAAGGCCCTGGAATAAATTCACCGTCCTATGGCTAATCGACGATTAGTAACAGTTCATGCTTCATACAAGCGAGTTGCAACTTAAAATCCGAACTATGGGTGGATTTTTTCCCTCCCACTTCTAACATCATCTATGTACATCTAGCTCACTTCGGGTATTTCTATTTTAACGACTTCTATTTATTTAGTTGTCCAACCAATCAACAACAATCGATCCAATTATCTCCTTTACAATTTCACACCTCATTATTTACGCTTTACAAATAATAAGAGCCTCATATATGTATGATGTGACATGTGAGACATAAGTTTAGTTGTTCTCAAAAGAATTTAATCTGGCCAGGTAGAAAAGGAGAGGGACAACGTATACAAGGCCTTCGAATAAATTCCCCGACCTATGGCTAATCGATGATTACTAACAGTTCAGGCTTCATATAAGCGAGTTGAAACTTAAAATTCGTACTATGGATGGATTCTTTCCCTCCCATTTCTAACATCATCTATGTACATCTAGCTCACTTCAGGTATTTCTCTTTTAATGGCTTCTATTTATTTAGTCGTCCAATCAACAATAGTTAATCTAATTATCTCCTTTTACATTTCCACACCTTATTACTTACGCTTTACAAGCTTTATTTACCACTTTCCTTGATAATACTCTTCGTTTAAGGGCAAGTAATTAGTCAAGCTGTCAGTGTGATGACCCAAAATATCATCTTTAAATTTAATAAATAATTCTGTGTTCTACGACCTCGAAAAGTACCATTTATTATTCCTCAACTTGTGTGTGCAGTCCGTAAAATTTTTCGGAAAGTTTTCAAATGAAAAATAGATTAAAATGTGAAATAAAACTTTAAAACTCAACTGAGTTGACTTTGGTCATCATTTTTAGAAAAGGGACCGGATCAGTATTTTGATAGTTTCGGTAGCTCCGTATCGTGATTTGGGACTTGAGCGTATGCTCGAAATTTAATTTAGAGGTCCCTAGCTCAAGTTATGACCATTTAACGGAACTAGCATTTTAAAGGCTAAAGATTCCAAGTTTGACCACCACTTTTTGATATCGGAGCCGGAATCCGATTCTAGAAATTTGAACAGCTCCGTTATGTTATTTATGACTTGTGAGCCAAATTTGAAGTCATTCTAGATTCATTTAATATGTTTTGGTACGAGGTTTGTAAATTAAAAAGTTTAAAACTCAAAGTTTGAATCAGGGTATGAATTATAATTTCAGCGTTGTTGACATGATACGAGACCCCGAGTAAGTCCGTATTATGTTATTGGACTTGTTGGTATATTCATACAGGGTCCTGAGTACCCCGAGAGTGATACGGATTGAAATCGGATCAAGAATTGGACTTAAGCAAAATCTGATTTTTTTTCCTTCTATTGTAATCGCACCTGCAGATTTTTGCCCGCAGGTGCGAGCTCGCAGATGCGAGCCATCCAGATGCGCCCAGGCATGTCAAGGCTTCGATCGCGGAAGCGGACAGCTTCTCGCAGAAGCGTGTCCGCAGATGCACGCCAAATCACGCAGATGCGGGATTGGGCTGGCCTGGGGTCTTCGCAGGTGCGGCCATTTTGCGGAGAAGCGGATGTCACAGGTGCGATAGGAGTGTCCGCAGATGCAGAACTTCACCTGGCAGCCTGGAATCGCAAATAGGAGCTTTTTCTCGCAAATGCGAGTCCGCAAAAACTTTTATCCGCAGATGCGAAAATGACTGGGCAGAGCCCATAAATTCGGAAGTCGCCATTTTTACTCATTTTGAGTATCAAGTCTCGAATTTGGGTGATTTCAAGGGGGATTTTCACGACTTTGAATTGGATAAATGTTCTTTAACCAAAAGTGATTATATTTCATAAATTCATGTCTATATTCATCATTTTTTCGGATTTACATGGAAAAAATCAGATTTTTATAAAATCTTTCAAAAACGAAAAGTTAAGATTTGAAGATCCATTTGACATCGGAATTTGATAATTTTTATATGGTTGAACTCGTCTCGGAATGGGT